GTAGTTTCAAGTGATAAGAAACTATTTGAATGAACAACCTCAAGTAAGAGAGCACTTATGAAAGTAGGAATGTAAGTAAAACCGTAACAAGTATTAACAGAAGAAGTACAGGTAAAGTTATAAAAAAACAACATTTGAGTAATGGATGGCCTGCCTTTGTTGAATTTATTGACATTAGTGGTTTCCTCTTCTCTGCTGGACTCATAAGTTTGTCTCTAAAATTACGATCATTAAATGCCGATAAAGTATTATAAATTATGCACTTGAAAACTTGCTATTGGAACGCATGAAATCAACATTTACTAAGCAATCAACAGTTGTAAAACATCTTTACGTTACTGAATAACATAAAAGATTTAAATACTAAAATGTCTTCGCAGTGCCAATTACCTCTCAGGTACGGGTGCTGAATACCTTGTTTCCACAAATGCAACACGCTCAAGAGGTGGCACGCTATGTTTAGGATCACTGAGTTCACCTATGTATTGCTTGTTAGACAACGTTTTTAAAAATGTGATAAATGCTTAGTTGCAATTGTGAACTTCAATTTTACAACCAAAATAAATAAGCCGTTGTTCAGTTTTACACAGTATTTTAAAAGGCTGTAGGAAAATAATTTTTATCGTAAACAGATTAACAACTTCAAAATTGTAGTAAAATTCTACGCCAAATTCTGAGAACTTTGATTTTCAAACAACAGCTGTTCAAAAAAGTCCGACAATGAATCACTACAGCGAGGATCTAGAAACCTACCGCTGGTCTGTGGACGCTGTGCTCCAGCGCATGCCTCAACGTCGTCGTAGTCTGGCGGCAGATCGTACTGTACTAAAACTTAAGATTACCTGTCCCTCAAAACCGATTAAGTAATAAAAAGTTGGAAATTATAAAAAACATAAAGATTACACTTTGTTCAAAAATTAATTAGAAAGTATCTGGAACAAAAAGGATTACTTGAACAGTACCGAAAATAATAGCATGATAAGAAAATTTTCTACATTGTACTGGAAGGAGGTGTAATTTATGCACAACTTTGAAGCAGTTATATCTCAGAAGGCTTAAATTATACAAGTAGCTGAAAATAAAATTTATCAATCTATAAACCTTTTGGGTGGAATTCACGATTTATTTGTGGGCCAACTTTTTGCACTTTGGCCGTCTCAGATGACTGAACGTGTCCAGGAACGGGAATCAACGGTGAAGACACATCTTGAAGATGTGTTACAGTCATAGCGCTACCGTCAAGATATGCCTATAAATTTACCCGTCGGAGGCAAGGAAGCAGTGCAACAGTTTTGTAAAGCGGTTTATCGGTTTACCAGGGCTAAAAACTGCTGTAAAATGAATTTATTGCAATTAACAGTCCATTCTTCGCCGAGTCCTACGCTTTTTAGTCGATAGTGAGAATGTTTTAAAATTTTGCTGAATAATGGAGTCCGGCCTCTGATTTATAAAGCCGGGAAAGAAACCTCTAAAGCCAATCCCCTGCTAAGTAAAACCAGCTCAATGCGCTAATAAGTTCCAGGTTCTCGCATTTCTCCCAATAACTATGTTATTTATGAAGAGTAAGTGTTTTTGAGCTCATATGAAAGTTTGGAAGTTTCACTGCGAGATAGTCAGTGAGCGTTTTGACAGCTGAACTACGTCGACGTGAAGGAAAAAAGCAGCACAGCCCGCCATCTTCAAATCACGCCAGTACGTAACTTTCTCACGCCAGCCGAATCGTCCCTCTTAAAGCACAGTCCAAGCAGCTATGAATTTGAAACAACATGCGAAATACAGTGTTTGTTCATGAAGCTGTGGTTCTTTTAGGAAAGGGAACAGCTAGGCAAACTACGTGAACAAGTTGCAAGTAAAATTTTGCAAAAAGAACGATGACAGCTATCCACCACTGCAAAGGTGACCTCACGAACGCGTTCTATCACGCAACATTCAGCAGAATTGATGAGATTATATACTGGCACATTGTTAAAAAAACTTGACTAGACAGCATTTTCTCATGACGGCAAAGGTAAATCTGAGGCCCATTACGGTTTTTACGAATACATTTCACACCTGACAAAAAAAACGAGATTTTTTTAGAAGATTAATTCTATGTTACTTGAGTGACTCTAATATAAATTAATCTTTTTTCATGGGAATTGACTATTTTGAAATCTTGAGTAGCAATTGTGCAGAACAAAGAAATAGAAAAAAATTCATTTCTACGAGAGTTCAAAATTACTCTTTTATGCTTATAGATAGAAAGTTTCTCAAAGAAGTCTTTGCTGAGCGATAATCTGAAAATTTTTTTTGCATATCAGTAAGGCTTAACTTGGCGGCGGATTGACTTTTAGAGGTTCTATTCGGCCTTTTAAATAATACGTTGGATTCTAATAAATAGCAAAACCAAAAAAAAAAAAAAAAAAAAAAAAAAAAAAAAA